AGTGAAAATGTCATTTTGAAAAACCGAATGCAATCAACTCAAAATTTAGTGAATCTAATAGAAATTACRTTAGCGACAGTCTTCTGGGCGTAATTTAATGTTTTTTAGGCGTTGATAAGAATAACATGCTTCGAACAAGTAAATAAAAGAAATGAGATGAGAATAGAATAGAATGGAAATGGGAAAAATTGTAGTTTTCCATACACTACGTAAGAGTTTAAATGGTAAATGTATTAAATGTATTAAGTATGTTTAAATGTATTAAGTATAAAAAAGATTTGGAGGATAAGAGATCAAATCTGAAAAGAAATTGGGGATCAAGAATTAAAATGTTAGACTAAAAAATGTGATCACGAGCAAAAACCTGTATCATATCACGATCATGACGTGGAAATCGAAGAGTGTGGAATAGAATAAAAGGAATGGATGTAAACAAATATATTTTACATAGAAATGACAATGGTATAAAAGGGTTGTACACAATAGATAAGAGTACGAATAGATTAAAAATTCAGTTACTAAAAAAATACTGGAATAAGCTCCTTAATCTTGCTAAATGGATGAATATTCAGAGCGCTCTACTATTGATGATTTCTACCCCTAAAATATTTCTAAAATGGCAGAAGTCTCGGACAGAACATCGCTTTTTAGTGGAACGTGACATTTAGTAAAAACAGTTCTTGTTGATCTAGTGGGGGGTACAGATTACAAGCTTGATTATTAATATTACTGTAATTTACATTCCTATTCAATTAAAACGAAAGCTAATAAATAATTAAATGTTGTGCAGAAAATTAGAAATCGAATTCTCGAGTGTTGTTTTTGATGAAAACGTTCCACTTGATCAAACGTTCGYCTGTGAAAAAGTACCAATTAAACTATGAGATTGAAATGTTTTATATCTTTTTACAATAGGATTAGATTTTTGTTAATCAAATGCTCTATAGGCTCAAATATTACTTGACCAATCGTTCTATATACGATTAAACGTTCTTTTTCAATGTCAGAGAACACGATCAAGTGTTCTATATGATCAAACGTTCTTCGATAGACTTTCTATTTTCAGCGCACGATAAAAGGGGTCAGAGCCCGTTTATATATCACGAAAAAACAATCAAAAATCGCTCAAACGCTTCCTCTACGTGAGTTATCATACAAAATACCGAATCAACAAAATAACAACAAAGTGACTCCCCGCCTTGACTCACACAAAAGAACGAGTCACAACTCATTTGGCAAATGTCATATTGCGGCCTCGCTAATTCACAAGGCTCGATTTCATATTTTTCACAAGTGCGCATCTGGTGAACTTGTCTACGCACATGCGCAGTTAGACCACGCGTTTTGGCTCTTGTGAAAAGACACAACGAATGGAATAGCGGCGTGGAGCAGCTTCATGTAGAACGAGAGATGTTATAGGTGGTTTACACTTACTGTACACCTAAATATGCGTATGGACCGACTTAGTTGAAATCTACCGGTCAATAAGAGGATTATAGCTCGTCGAAAATTGAATCAGTGACGGTACTGAATGGTTGCTACATGATGTTTTAACGGAGGTAACTTCGCGACAAGTGCCGGCTTTGCGACTAGAAATATTTAGTATTTTTRTTCATATATTTATAATATACTATAATACCGTAGGTAACTAGACTCCTTTAAGATCCTAGGTCTTCTTAACATTTTACCATGTATCAAAACATCTTCTACTATATTCCCATGTTGCCATTRGTATACATTATAATCTTCTAACTATATATTTCTTACCTTTACCTCAGGTATCAGCACTTCCATAAAGTGTTTTGCTATGTTCCTCTCAAGCTTGTCATCCCTCGAGATCGGTCTACTTGCCGGAGGCGCCGCCATTTTGCTGGCGGTGATCTTTGTTCTCGTCATTCTACTCTGCAGACAAAAACGAGGTGAGAATTATTATCAAAATTGACTTATGGGGAACTAATAAGGTTTCTTTTACGATATTAGAAATATCTTGTTATATATAACAAGATTTATTCCTATACGAGTTATTTTTCTGCGGTATGCTCATCATAGTCAAAATAACTCAGTTGATAAGCATTTTGTCACGTTGGAAACCATTTTTGTACAATTAGTTTGTTAAAAGGATATACAGTGGACAGCGACTGTGAAATGCACGAATTATATCATCACATGAAATGAAAAAAACAATAAAAAGATAGATGAAAAATAAAAAATAAAATTCAATTGGCATTTTATAAGAAAAAAATGTCACCCTAACTATTCGTCGTAAGCATTATTTATTCATTTAAGCTTTACCAGAAACCTGGTATGCATAAATTTAAAGAAAAAAAATATAAGAATTTTAGATATTGTCCATATTGAATTTCGAAAGCATTTCAGTTTCAAAATACATGAGCTAATAGGAATAGTGAATCGCCAAGCCTTCATTACTAAGACGCCTTCATGGCTGATTTTATTGGCGTTTGCAATTACTTTTGTTATACAATTCTCCACTGGCTAGAAACAGAGACCACTTTATTCGATCTTACTGTCAAGAATGTTTTGATAGGGAAATATGAAATGTCATTGCTGATTAACAATCCTTGTTGGTCCTTGAAGTAATTTTTTCTCTAACAAACTAAAATATTTCACAGCATTTCCAAGGAAGGGATAATTACTACCAGTTTTTCTTGCTTGTTAATCTCACTACTTTAGTTTGCTTGTTTAAATCAAACATTTTATCCGTGGAAAAGAAGAACACAAGGGTTTTTTTTTACGTTGGTTTAGAATATTAACTATTCTGGATGTCGCTAGATATCAACCTTGGTTGCGGTCTGAATATGAAACCACAGATTTACCCATATCAAACATTCTGTTAAAGAATGAGGTCAAACGACTAGGCAAAGCGCATTTGTATTTAAGGGATAGATCATTAAAAAAACCTCAATGGAGGGGGAGGGGAGGGGAKGGGAGKGGAAGGTGGTKTTGGGTTGGAGGGGGCTATGGACATTTATCAAAGTAAAACCAATGCATAGAAATTTAGTTAAAAAATCCTGAATGTGTTCAGGTCCAATAACTATTTACTGCAGATCTTTGAGGAAAAAACCCTGAAAACTGAAGTTAATTAGCCCCCGAAAAAATAATGCAGCACAAAACATCACCCCCCCCCCCCCCCCCCCCCCCCCCCCTCGATCTGCTATCCGGGTTTTACTAATGGTCTGCTTCTAAGAGGTTGAAGTTATCGATGTCTTTGTATCGGAAGTTGTCACACATTCACTTTAATGAGTATTTTTCTTTTCCTGATATTGGTTGATTAATATGAAAGACTTTAGTTATGATGTCTGGACAGGTCTACTATTATCTGAATAAATGACTGGTACTCAAGATGTCAGCGATATAAAATGAATTCAATCATTTAGTCAAAACGATTAAACATGAGAAAGGCACTCGTTTTGCATCGCACGTGATCTGTTAGCCTWGTTTTTGCCTCATTTCCTGACTCTTTCTGTAGTGTTCGAAAAGATTAAGAGGRCCAGAAAAAAATGAAAACGAAATCCCGTGTTAATTTGTTTATTTAGTTTACGCCATCTAGGGTACTCTGAACGTACCTTTAGTGATTTCGAAAGGGAAAGGAAAAGATTGGAGGGAAATGGGAACGTTCATGATTTTCGAAATTGAAAAATTGTTCCACATTGCACTAAACTGACTAAAACATGTGCATTTTATTCTAGAAAACAAAAAGTCACAAGCAAAAAGTCCYCGTCAAAAGCGACGACTTCAACACGCTGGTCACCACCACTCGACCATAGACCTACCTCCTCTCGTCTACATGGACGGGATCGGCGCRAGCAAGACAAACATCATGGGAATGATAGAAAACCCCCTTAATTCCTTCCCCACTGCCGACAACACCATGGGAAGCCAGGGGAGTACCCTTAGGAGCCCTGAATGGAAAAGTTTTGACTCTCTCGGGGTCCCACGAAGTCCTCGCGAGTTTATGTACTACATGAGGAACTTGGAACACTCACGAAGCAACAGCCCTGCAACACCACGAAGGTTAAGTGATAACAACTCGGAGAGTGATTCGGGAATCTACGACATCAAAATGTTTTCGCCGAGTTACAAAGAYTCCAAATCCAAGACCACTGGAAGTGAAGGAAAAACTTCTCGAAACGAAAGAAAAGCATCGAGTGGAAGTGAAAGGAAGACTTCCGGCGGAAGTGAAAGGAAAACTTCCGGCGGAAGTGAAAGGAAGACTTCCGGTGCATTACGTCATCCTGCTTACCGAGAAATGATGCAAGGAAACTCTTTCCACGTKGTATGCACCACGCCCTGTACSGATATGTCTGATAGTGACTCAGAGCCTGAGCCTGAAATCAGCAGCCCTAAAGCAAGATTAAAGTTTACTACCATCATGGAGGAGCATGGAGGCAGTACGTCGAGCGCGCTGAATATCATAAGTAGAACTGAAATGCCTCCTACGTATCAAGAGAGCAAGCAAGCGAGATTGAAACTGCCAATTATAGACCTTGACGAGAAACTGTAAAAAGACGCAATGACATATGGGTTATTGAAGCAACTTGTATGTTATGATACAAAAATAACTGTCTATCAACAAAGAAGGTTAAACAAATGAGAAATCTCAACTGAGAGAAAAACTATTAAAAGGAAACTGGAGGACACTTGCTCATTTGGAAAGGGCAGTGAACGAACCCTGGACATTGATAGATACCTTTATTACGCTTAGAACAATTGTTCCAATGCATCTCGTGTTGGTCTCCTGGCCTCTTACCTCGATTAAAATGGAGAAGAATTGAGAAGACGACTATATACTTCACAAGTACATTCTTTCAATCATCAAATTTCAGTTGTACTTAATGAAGAGTCGCTGAGAAACTTCAGAGATGTTCTTATACATGTTCTAGATATTTAATAATCATTCATGAAGACGACCATATATCAGTAATCGACGACTATCGAGGCACGTCGAAGATTGAAAACAAGGATATTTTCACGCTATCTTCACCTGAACAAAGCTTTGGAAAACACAGATTTACGCTGTGGGCGGCGTAAATGGATAACAAAGAGTTGACAAGAAGATTTATGACCAAATATACCCAGACTTGAGCACCATGTTTTTTATGACCATTACTCAAGAATTGAACTACTTTATGGCGACGAAAAGATAATATGACAACAAAGAGAAAGAGACAAGAATGAGAAGAAACAAAATGAAATACTAAAAAAAGAAAGAAATGAGAAAAAAATATAAAAAACATTACCAAATGGCAAAAAACATATGTTGGCAGGAATCAATGAAAAAACAAAGCATAACATAAAATCATTAAATATGCTCGAGAAGAGTTAACTATGAAGTAGAATAGCCACGACTACTTCAATTTTGGCATAGAAAACAAAAGTATTTCCGGAATTATTCTAGTTGACAAAAAAATAATTCAAGAACTGACAAAGACGTTTGAATTATTCTAGTTGACAAAAACTTTTGCATCCTACTAGTTTGTACTAGAAAATTGCGCGCAAGTATCTGAATAATGTAGACCTTTCCCCCGTAGAGTAAGCACAAAAAAAACAGTTCAACATTACCCTTTTCCTGACATAGCAGTTTGCATTGCATGGTGGTCTAGATTTGTTACACATATCTTTTGTTCATGCTGCTGTTTSTACTGAAGCTAGACCAGAATGCAACAATGGTTTATGTTAAGCAATGGGTTTCAATGGTTTCAATGCATAATATATACAAATGTCGCTGGTTATTCGTGTGTATAAAGATATTTAATTGTATTATAGCGAAGTCTTACGAGTATGGAGTTTTGTTATTGCTTTTGCTTTTAATAAAAACATGAAAATTTCAAATTAC